ACATGCAAGCAAGATTCTGCTGAAAATTATTTAAAAATTACCAGAACAGCTTGCCTCTGGAAACCCTATGAACCTGGAGAGAGGATGAAAGGCACCCAAGTGTCGAGGACTCTCCTTCATAGGGTCGCTATGAGTCACCTGCGACTCGACGGCACTTAACAACAGCAGAATAGCACATCAACAGAGAACTGCCAGAAATGCAGGCTGGATATAGAACAGGTCTTAGTAACAGGGATAGTATAGCTAATGTTAGATGGATCTCGGCTGAAAGCAGGGAGAACCAGAGGAATGTCTAACTGAGTTTCATTGATTATAAAAGGCGTTTGACTGTGTGGATCACAACAAACTGTGGCTGACTCTGAGAAGAATGGGAATCCCAGAACACTTGATAGTGTGTATGCAAAACTTATACTTTGATCAGGAAACAGTCATCAGAACAGAGCAAGGAAACACTGCATATTTCAAAATTGGGAAGGGTGTACCCCAGGGATGTGTCCTATCTCCATACCTTTTTAGTCTATAGGCAGAATAGATTATCTGGGAGGGTAGGCTCTATGAGAAAAAATGTGGCACCAGGATTGGAGGAAGTCTCATCAACAACCTGTGTTATGCAGATGACACTACCTTGCTTGCCAAAACTGAGGTGGACCTGAGACCTTCAATATGGATTGAAGCTCAAAATTAAGAAAACAAAGATTCTGACCACTGGGCCAATTAGCAGCAACATCATGAAAGATGGTGAAGAGACTGACATTTTGAACAGCTATAGTTTGCTTGGCTACACAATCAACTCTCTTGGTACCAGCAGGCAGGAAATCAAAAGATGAATTACACTGGGAAAAGCTGCTGTCACGGACAGCTCCAGAGTATTGAAGAGCTACAGTGTCAGTCTGAAGACTAGGGTGCAACTGATTCAGGTCATGGTCTTTGTAACTGCTTGCTAAGAATCAGAGAGCTGGACAATGACTAATGATGAGAGAAGAAAAATTGATCCCTTTCAGTTGTACTAGAGAAGAGTATTGAATAGAGAGGGTGAAATCAGGCTATTCCTTGGAGGCAAAGATTCTGAAACTTAATCTGACATTGCATGTTGCAAGGAGGAACCAATCCTTGGAGAGGGACACCATGCTTGGAAGGGTAGAGGGGCAACGAAAATTGGAAGACCCTGGCTGAGGTGGGTTGACTCAGTGAGTGGGGTGATTGAGGTAGATGTGTCAGAGGCAATGAAGTTGGTGTTCTGAAGAGCATGGTGCCGGGTTGTTCTTAGGGTTGCTACGAGTCACCAGCGACATGATGACATTTAACAATAACAACAACAGTTTTCAACAGATAAATAATCAAAATGCTTTTATTGAAAAACTATGTTGAAATGTGTATCACTTTCAAGTTAACAAAAATTGTGATATTTCTATTAAAGTGAAGAGCAAGAAAGAAATTACTGAGTTTTTCTAGTGGCTAAATGGTAAGAATTTCCATTGTCAATCCAAAGTCACTAGCAACCCAAAGCCATGTAATTCAAATCCACTACCTGCTCCATGGAAAGGGGTTGGGGGTAATCTCTTCCAAGGCAGTTTACAGTGTCTTAAAACCTGCTGAAGGGTCAGCAAGAGTTTATTGGGACTGAACATCAAGTAACAAGAACAAAGCTCAGGTTATTTATAAAGAAAAGAAACCTGAGAATTGATCAATCCATGTACAACATTCGTTCTTGGTGAAAGGAAATAGCTGACCTGAGATAATTTACTTTTCCTGCTACATAATTTATCTATTCCCCTACACTATTAAATTCATAGTTTTAACTACTGACATCCCAAATTTAAAACTGTAACTGATCCAGGGTAGTTTCTTTATTTTTGTTTTTTCAGAGATGCTTGCCTTTGGAATAAAATATTTAGTAAATAGATGATGTTAATAATTTAATTGTTTTAGCCTTCTAGAATTAATCATTCTTCCCCCCTTTATTTATTTTTATATTGGTTTGCATATAAAATTTGCATGCTGTTGTTGTTTTGTTGTTGTTGTGTATCATAGAGTTGGAACCAACCCATACCTGTCCCTCAGGCTGTTTTCAGAGACAGTTAATCACAAGGGAGGAGATTGCCCATCCTTCTCCCGTGGAGTAGCTGGTGGGTTTGAACTGTGTGCCTTTGGGATTACAATGAAACTTCTTGCCACTAGGCCACCAGCGCTCCCTAAAATTCATATACAATCTTTATTTTTAATGTATACACATTCTTACATTCATACTTTGTTTCAAAAGTTCTCTCTTGTGCCTTGTTTATTTGTATATTTGAAAATTTGTCACTGTTGATCTATCTACTACTATGTATCACCTCTTCAGGTCCCTAATGGAACTTTTTCTAGTCCCTTCACCACCACCATCATCCCACCACCACTTTGTTACTCTTAAAATTTCCTCCCATCGCCACCCACTGTCCCACTCCCTTTTCTCTTCTGGACTTTTATCCACATATTACCAGTTAACTCTTTATTTTTACAGTAGTGGTCTCATTCAGTATTTGTCCTTATAAGGCTGAATTAGTTCACTCAGTATAACGTTCTCTAGTTTCTCCCATATTATATAGTTGTTGTTGTGGTGGTGTACTATGAAGTCAGAACCAACTGATAGATGACCGTCCAGTGGGTTTTCAGAGGCAGTTAATCACACAAGAGGAGACTACCCAACCTTCTAAACTTCTACTGTGGAGGAGATGGTGTATTAGAACTACAAGCCTTTGGGATTGCATTACAGTTTCTTATCAGTAGGCCATCAGTTGTTGTTGTTGATTGCCTTCGCCATCCTATGAATAAAAGGCCTGAAACCGCTCTAAAACTATTGACATTTATCAAAGTTCATAGAGTTTCCGGAGGCATGTTGTTTAGGAAATACATGCCATTCCTTCATCAGAGCTCTGTGTTATATAGTATTTTACAAAACAATTTCTCCTTAGTGCTGGGTAGTATTGTATTATTATTATGTAAATTATGTACATTATGCAAATATATCCTGATTTCTCAATCCATTAGTTTATTGCTGGACATTTGAGCTCTTTCCATTTCCTTGTTATTATGAATAATGTTTCTATAAACATAGCTATACAAATCTTTGTATGTGTCTAAATTCTATTTTCCATGGGGTTCTGTATTTCTAGCAGTGGAATAGCTGGGTCAGATGGAATTTCTATGTTCAGTGGAAACATCAGACTGCTTCTCACTGTAGTTGTACCATTTCACAACCACACCTGCAGTACATGGAGCGTTCAAATCTCTCCATAATCTCTCCAACGTTTATTGCTTGCTGTCCTATTAAACTTTGACACTGCTGCTTGGGGTGAGATGGTATCTCATTGTGGTTTTGATTTACATCTCTCTTATTGTTAGAGATTTTGAGCATTTCCTCATGTGTATGTTGACCATCCAAATATTTTCTTTTTTTTGAAAAGTCTTTCCATGTCTTTTGCCCATTTTGCGATTGGATTATCGGTCTTTCGTCTTCTTTTTGTTAAATTAAATTTTATTAATTTTAATGAACATTTACAGAGATTTTGGGTTTCCATTCATTCATTGTTGCACTATTTTCTCTACCCTCCTCCCCAGGTGGTTCCTCTTTTTTTTCCCCCTTGAAAGTCTGTTTTAATTGTCCAATTGCCACAGTGCTTGTCAAAGCCAGTTCTGATTAATCTCCTTTGTCAGTGTGTCCCTTGCCATTCCCTATCACTCCTCCCTGAGAGAGACTTCACCCTGATTCATAAGGAAAAGGGGATGGCATATTCTCTTAGCTACTTCCTGCTGAAAAGGGACTCTGTAGGTTTCAGGGTGAAGATCTTCTCTCACTACTCTAAAGGGCCCCTTTGGCAGTAGGAAACACATATACTATTGTGGAGACTGATTTTGGAATTTCAGTCTATCTTCTTTTGGAGGCCCTGTAGAATTCTGTAAACTTTTGTTATGAGACCCTAATCTGAAATGTCATTGCCAAATGTTTCTTCACAGTTTTCAGGTTTTAATTTCATCTTATGGGAAAAGGTTTTTGAAACACAGGGACTTAATAATTTAATTGTGATTTTAACAGATGTTTACAAAATAATTGGATTTTCATTTATTCATTGTTGCACGTTTCCCTCCCTACTCCTGCTAGTTCATTTAAAAAATATTCAAATTGTTGCATACTTTCTTTTCTTCCTCCCCCAAAGACTTTGCAATGTACCTCTTATTCTGGACAGTTGTATTTATTGTTTTTATCCATTTACACTTTTCTAACTGTATATATTATCTTTCTCATTGAAAAGCAACAATTTGCAGTGTCTAAGTAATGCATATTGATGTTCTTATGTGACTGTAGAGCTCCTGTCAAACGTTTAAGTTGATCTTAGCTTACTCCAAGATATTTCACTATTACCAATTTATTTTTAATCAAATATGTACTCAATCTTTCTTAACAGCCGTCAGAACCCCTTAGGACTTATAGTTGCACTAAATGATGATAACACAGCCATTGGGGACTTTTTCTGGGATGATGGAGAAACTAAAGGTATGTCTAAGTGGCATGCTTTTAAATAATCATTCCAATGATGGAAACTTATGCCTATATTTATTAGTATAAAGTTGCAACAATTTTTCCAGTTCCTTGTTTCAATTTCTTGATTTGTAACACTTTTCTAACCAGAGATTTTATATCATTTGCTAAATTTTAACCATTATTTTTAGCATCTTATTTTTTTAACTTTTTTCTAATTGGTTTTCTAATTTAGGCTTTTAGATTACTTTTGAGAAATTTTATTTCTTTAGTTACATACAGTTGGTAATTATTAGGAATTCTGGTGGCTTCGTTGGTAAGGACGTTAGCTGATAAACCTAAGACATGAAGTTTTAAACCTCCGGCGTCTCCATTGAAGAAATATGGACAGTTTATTCTTATGTGAGGAAAACTCACTGGAGGGTCAGCTATGAATCAATTCTAACCCTACAATAATGAGTTTTGATTGCAATATCTAATGTTATGTGTTGGTTTGTTGTATAACTGTCAATGTAGATATCTTTATTGTAATTTTTAAGTTTAAGTAGTTAATAAATTCCTGAGTATAAGAATTACATCATATTTCCATCTGTATTGAATCACTGTCTTAGTTAAAACTGAAATTTACTGCTGTAGATAAAATAAACCAACATTTATAGCTTCACTTAACGAATGCCAAATCACTTAAAATGAGAATGATATCGCAATTTATTTCTATAACTGTGTGTGCTTCATTTAATTTCATGAACCCCTAAATTGAAAGTTCATTATAGAGAATAAGGAAAAACAGCTATTTTATGTGAATATTTACAGAATAGTAAATTTACCTGATTAGTCTTAGAGTAAAATAGATGTCCTTTTAAATTTATTATACATGTCATACTGTCTATATAGAAGAGCTAATAAATATGTTCTACTTGGGAGCACCAAATATATGTTTTAGTTTCTATTTTAACTTACATATTCTCAGAAGTATTTACTATGCATTTAGAAACATTTTCAAGAATTCAAAGATCCAGCGTCATTTGTTGTTAGTGAGATCCTCCTATACTCTGAAAGTATAAAATTGAAATGAAAAAAATAGAAATGAAAATAATTTGTGTCCTGTTTTTTCCACATTTACCTATCTGAAGCCAAGGTGGTACAGTGGTTAAGTGCTTGACTACTAACAGAAAGGTCGATAGTTCAAATCATACAGTAGCTCAGTGGAATAATGATATGGCTTGCCTACTTAAAAAATAAATAAATTTGTAGCCTAGGAAACCCTATGAGGCAATTTTATTTGTCATGTACAGCCACTATGAATGAAAGTGGACAACAGTAGGGTGTTTTGTTTTTATGGTTTTTTTCCCCCCTATTCACATTTCTTTCCTTAATTCTCCTTAGTTCTCTTTTCTCTTTATACAGTTCTTCTAATGAACAATTGTTTGTACTACTTACCTAACTCTAAAATTTATATCCGTAGACCCCAACTCAGTCTACTTTTTATCTCCATTTGTATTAGTACAAAATATTGTTCATAATCTTATCACTCTAGCTCTGCCCCACTTGGTGTCTTTTCCTTATCAGAGGACAATGATTGTATCTCTAGAAGATGCCAAAAATCTTTGCGTTGAATCTTTTCCGCTCAAAACCTATGGATTTCTCTACTTTTTCCACTTATTTGTATCTAACCAACTCCATCGATCATTATTACCATTATCTATCTTTGAAATTATAAAAATAAATTCCTAACTTGTCTTTAACCCAAAGCCAGCACAGGGCCATTTTTTCCCATTGCTACATGTACGCTGTCATAGTGAATCTTCTTCCATTATCCAAGTCTGTAATTCTTTATGGGAACAGATTGTCCATATGTTTCCAAAGGAAAAAAATTGGAAATACAATACAAAAGTTATTGTTTAGAAATTTAAATACAACAGCCAGAATGTCCTATAAATGGTGATTCAAGTAATCACATTCTGCTTGAAATAACTGTCCCTTTTACTCAGTTCCATCATGATTTGTGTCCTTCAGCATGTGTACACACTCACAGATTTTCCTACTGTACCCCCTTCTCCTTCTACCCCCCAAACAATAACCCTCTTTTTATTCTCAACCATCATAGAACTAAAAAGGTGTAAAGCTCACCTATTCCCAAGGGAAAAAGACGCCAAGTGCTTGCAACAGAGAAATTTCCTCAAAGTGGATTTTGGCAGTGAATTACTTTTAGCTATCCAAGGGTATCATTAAGACAATTCCTTTTTGGTGATATGTTGTACTGTATTTTAAGGTAACTCTTATTATTGTCCCGTTGTACATCCATTCCTTAAATCATCTCTTTCTCCTACCTGTAAACATTTATAGTGATAATTTATTTCATGTAAGGGCAATGTTAAGAATGCATAAGTCAGACATTATTATTCCTGACACAATGGTTTTCCAAGGCTGTAAATCACGTGGCATGCCATTATCCTTCTTTATCCCCTTATACTATTGGTCCATTCAAACCAGCTGAGAAACTCAGACTTTGGGTTAACAGTGTACTTTCCTAAAAACTATGTCACCAAAGCTCCATGAAAGTACATAGGAGATAATACTATTTAATCAATTATTTAGTATGTTTTTAAGGGAGATTTGGTGACCTAGTAATAAAGAGCTGCACTGCCAACCCTGAGATATGTGGTTTGAATCCACCAGTTGCCCCATGCAAGAAAGTAATCTCCATATCTGTTATTATTACATGTTATTATTACATCTGAAAACTCAAAGAAAGGTTAGCTATAATTGGTTCTAATCTAACAGTTCATAACAAAGCAAAAATATGATTTTTGTGTAATCTCCTTTAAAAAGAGAGTTCTCGTGGATTGGAACCCTCTGGGGGTAAAAATCCAGTCATGATTCTGGGGAAAATAGATGGGTACTCTCTTCCCATGTCATTTACAGCCTTGGAAAACAAATACAGCATCAGCTATGATTTGGTTCCAATTCCACAGCACTGAGCAAATAAGTGCTTAAATATATATATATTTTTTCTGAATAATAGATTCATCATGAAGCTTTCAAATAATCAAAAATATTTTCTTCAGTTGAGATTCTAGTTCTGTTTTCCTAAAAGTGAACATTTTAGTAAATTAAAATGATGGGAAGCCTAGTGTTTCCACTGTATTGTTTCTACTCTGTTCTTTTAAAATTAAGGATGACCCTTGTCTTAGGCCAAGTGATTTGGAGAAACAAAACCAATAATGCAAAACCAATGAATATGTATCTCAACTCATTGCTATAGAGTTGGAACTGACTCATAGTTAACCCTTCAACAGGCCTTGAGGCTGCAAATAGTTCTATAGAAAATTACTCATCACTCTGGAATGGAGACTCTGGTGGATTTAACCACCTAAGTGTCACAGTCTTTTAGTTAACAGCACAACTTAGTAAGGGCTACCAAAGCAGAGTTCCCCGAGAGCTTCTCCACTGTAATTTACTGTCTTGCAAACATGACAGAGGATCAACTATGAGTTAGAATTGACTCAGTTGTAATTAGCTTAAGTTTTATGTGTAATACACACACACACACAGAGTGATTTATGTAGAGGAAGTTGCTTACATGCTTGTAGAGACAGCAAATTCCAGATACATGGCACATAGCTATAGATATACACAAATCCAAAGTTGGCAGGCCAGGAGGGCACGCTTCTCCAACAAACCAAAGATGTGGCAAGCAAATACAAGATCTGTACACAACATAAAACAAGGCAGCACTGCTAGATTTCCATGTAAACTCAGTGTCTATCACATTATCCCCAGATGACGTTCTCTCATCAACTGGCCACTCATAGGAAATCTCATGAAAGGAATGATTGCACCAAAATTCATCAAAGAAATGGCTACATTACAGCTCCCAAATCAGAATCCAAACCCAACCAAGTTGTTACACAATTTTATACATCACAAACTTAATATTTTCTGTAACAGAGATATAATGAGAAAAAGTGTTAATCCATGCATGGTTAGAAAATGTCCTTTCCATCTTCCTCCTCAAAATTATTTCAAATTTTATAATTTCCTCAGATGAATCTCTTTTTGTGCCCTCTCAAATCACAAAATAAAATATAAAAGAAATTTTTTACACAAAATCAAATTGTGAGTGCGGGATAGTTAGCTGGCTTATCAATGAGAAACTATTATTCAGAGTAGTAGATTTCCATATTTATATACATTTTGTGAGGAATGTTGGTATGTCTAAAATTTCAAAAATAGTTTTACATTCTTTGAAATGTAAAGTGTTGGCAAATATACATTTATTCACTGTCAATAATTGAAAATGACATGATGTATTTATTTTACAGACAATTAAAGACAATTTTAAATGATAATCTAGCTATTGTGTTTTATTTGTAAGCAATAATTACTTTTTCAGAATTCTTAAATACTGCAAACATATCAAATCATATAGTCTATTTGTAAATTTTGATCTGATTTTCTTTTCTTTTCTTTTTCAGATACCATAGAAAATGGCAATTATATATTTTATACATTTTCAGTTTCTAATGTAAGCATTGTTCTTGGACACATAGCTCAATGTATACTGTGGTAACATGTAGATTTTTTTTATATAATGAATTTTTTCAAAAAAGGTATTCTTTTACATTCACATTTCAGTCAGTGCAAAGCAGTGAAATAAATTTCTACATTAAATTGTTGAATTATAATTGATGAATTGTAACTATATTATTACTCTATTTATATATATATTTATATTTATATATAATAGATAAGTTTGTTATCCTGCCATGACACACAGAATTAGCTACAGTTTTTATAGTAATGTAGCTCATTTGAAGCCTACAGGACAAAGGAAAGAACATTAACATATAAAAAACAAAAATCTAACCATATCAATCACTGCAATAATTGCTGTGGGCTTTGAGTGACAAACTAAAATACCCAAACTCAACAAAAACCTTATATACAAGGCTAAAAGTTCTGAATATTTAATAAAAAAGTTTTTATAGATGCTGAAATCCTTCATGTTTTCATTTTTATCAAAGTTATGTTTACCAGTATTAAGGCTA